TGGCGGGGCCGTCAGAGGGGACGGCGGGGCCGTTAGGTGCAGCAGCGGGGCCGTCAGAGGGGACGGCGGGGCCGTCAGGTGCAGCGGCGGGGCCGTCTGAAGCAGCGGCGGGGCCGGTAGAGGGGACAGCGGGGCCGTCGTGTGCAGCGGCGGGGCCGGCAGAGGGGACGGTGGGGCCGTCAAGCGCAGCGGCGGGGCCGGCAGAGGGGACGGCGGGGCCGTCAAGCGCAGCGGAGGGGCTGGTAGAGGGGACGGCGGGGCCGTCGCAGGCGATCGCGGGGCCGTCAGAGACGGCGCCGGCGTCGCGAGGGTCAGAGGGGGGGGCGGCGCGCGACTGGAGAGCGGCACGCGCGACGCGGCACGGCCGTCTAGGGGCGGCGCGACGAGGCCGCGTAGGTGGCGCGTCAAAAATTCGCGGGCGGCTCGACGCGATCGGGCCGCCAAAGGAAAAAAAAAAAAAAAAAAAAAAAAAAGGCCCAGCGCGACTCGGGCTAGGGCAGAGCGCGCTCCGGGCAGGACGGAATAGTAGGTGGGCCCTAGGAACAGTTCCCACTAGGGAACCTGCTCGATACCATGTTGAGATAGAGGCGAGGAATGAGTGCACTATGAAGTGAAACAAGTACAAGTACCAACCCTAATTGGGTTGTACCCCCTATGGGCTACCCCACTACAGCCTAAATATATGCATCAGTAATATAATCATCTGACACAAGGTTGATGTGTCCGCCATTGAGACGACGAGTGAGTGTGATTAGCAGCAAATCACACATTGAACTTTGTGTGCATGCGAAAAAACGCGATGACAGCATCGTACTAGAATCACCCATTCCAGTACGATATGTAATGCTCACTTATTTGATAAACATATGGTTAGAATTCTTAGCTAGGCTAAGGAGCCATGGCGAGTTGGGTAGGAGAAGTTGAGTTCGAGTGAGTTTAGAAAAATCGAGAGGAATGAGTTTCACTAAAGAGAATGGCAAGTACAAATAGGTAAACAGCAACACAAGGAGGTGCACCACCAAACATGATGCAATATCTACACTACAACTGCAAACGATTATATAAAATATGTAAACATATTTTGACACATATTGCTATAGGAACCAGAAGTCAACGTGCGGCTCAAAAATAAAATAGCCCCAACCACGCATGACGAGTGCCATGCATGCAATTGAACGAGCGAACGAATATTGTACTAACGATAAATAGAAGAAACCGAATTATACAGCATATGCGATTATGAAGTGGTGAAAATTCGAACAGTAGAACGTGTCAAAGTTATTTTATGTAACTGCTTGTGGTTTAGGCGTAGAGTATTTATCTTGTGTTCTGTTTGGTGGTGCACCTCTAGTTTCTTGACTATATGTTGTATCTCTCTGCTATTATTGAACCGCTTCTTGTTTGGCCAAACTCTCTCGACCTTCCTTTCGCTATCACTCTGGCTATCTCCATGGCTCCTAAGTTCTTAACTCGTTAGCTGTATTTTTGATAGAACGAAAAAATGAGCAATGCTATGCAACGCCGACATTGTGGCTTGGCCTATTCTATATTCGTAGGCCGACTCTACCCTGGACAGCGATGCTAAGTTAGCAAAAGAGGTCACGCAATGTACGGTACAAGGATTAAAGATGGTTTTTAATATTTTGTATTAGGGTCTACAGATTTGTGAACAAATCAAATGTTTGTCCTGTCTAAAACACGCACCTGTGTGGTGAGCACGTGTACACCCGTCTTGGCCAGTCTCTCGAGTTGTATTTGCATGAAAACGCCAACAGACGGTCCCAATTGGGTGGTTCATTATGGGGGCTTTTTTTGTGGGCTGCCTTGACTGCAAGTATATTGACCAGAGTAGTCCGGGTTTGTAATGTGTATTTCTATAGTCAGGGCGGGTCCGAGAGTGTAAGTATTCGCAGAAATACCTAACTGGCCAGTTTAATTTCAGAATAGACTGCTCAGGATCAAATCCAGAGCCTTTTAAGCCGCATTCGGACGTACTATGAGGACATGGCATGATGGTGCTCCTTCGCACTACCTGAACTGATGTCCGCTGGGTACTACCGAATGGCGTCTGGTTTCCCTCAGGTTGGAATGCAAAGTTCCACCCCGTCCAGCCAGTTCCTCACTTGGCTGGATGAAGGAGGTCCAAAAGGAGGTCTGAGGGCAGTTTGGACACGCGCTAGGAGACTGGGTTGGTGATCGATCCTGGCCATGGAAGATTTACGGACACTATTTCCTCCTTTCCCCAACCTGGTCTGGCTCGTCCAAGCTTCCAGAAACAGCTGAAAAGTAGATCCAGCTTGCAGCATTTTCATTGCGACAAACTGAGGTGATTGCCCTAATGAATGAAGGCCAGCTCGGGAGCATGAAGGTCTGATATCGCAAGGGGTTCTCGTGATGCTGGAGGAAGAACCATTCACCTAATGATGATATGTAATCATAAGATCGTTGTGGTAATGGGACAGACCCTACCTATACTTCACACATGGAGACCTTGTGGTTGTTATGATGACCGAAACTCACGAGCCACAATAGACCATTCTGCACCAGTTAAAATATATCTTACCCAAACCGGCAAGCCATCTCTAGTGCCGCCCAGAATTAGGGATTTCAAGAATCACCCTGTCAGGATAATCCACCAACAATCGAATCACTAGGCACGCCCGAACACAAACTGAGTTGTACTCTCCAGACATCTCTCCCGTTTTCTCACAACGACATTCACAATACCCCTAGTGATGCTTTTCCCGTGATGCTTTTCCTTACTCCCGATATTCCACATCAAAATACCCACAACCTTCCAGAGGGACAGTGAAATTGGTTAATCAATATAGCCAATATGTTCAATTCGTACCCTTGAGTTAGCCATCCAATTTGGACTCAAACCAGCGCATTCATTTTTTTACATTGTCACTGAAATGGTAACCCGGAATACATATTTACATATTAACCACTATTATCGTAATGTTGTTTTTTCTAACGAAAGTAATTCCGCTTAACATAGCTCTAAACTATGTAAAATGAAGGCATATTGTCTTGATTTAATGTTTTATTACAATGAATACAACGTGCTCGCTAGCTTGTGTTTTTGTACTCTCCTTGGTTGGATTTTGAGGTCCTTAATAGGTGTGTGTATTTGTTGTAGTCATACAAATTCAGTCTTTCCAACTACTCTCTGAATCTCTCCAGAGTCAGAACAATAATTGACACCCCGATACGCTCTTGTGATTTGAGCACCAAACGACACCGTGCTGCTTGTCGCATCGACTCCCCTTGAAGCTCTGGGCGGGTGAGCTGATGCTTCTAGTCCGGGTGCATCAGATATGAGCGAGCTGGCTGGCAGGCAGTCTGGCAGACATCCGTCCGCATCCTTGAAACTACACTCTCGTTTGTTCTTGGCTATTCTTCATGGTCATAATTTCATAACGATTGAGAAAAGGGTTGGTTTGGGGACGTGATGAATGGGCTGAGATCTATGGCTGCTAGAAATAGCTTCTGCTCTCCTTGTAGCCCGAAGAACAAAGTACACATCGGAAAGAAAAATGCCAAACATAAATACAATAGACCCATCCCTAATTTTCCCACGAGATTTTTTTCCCCATCAGACCTATACTGCATCACACCCTAATAAACCGTTAAATGCCAGAGCTAACATCAAACTGTTCAGACCGGATAATTTCTGCTGTTGTTTGTGGCTAGTTGGACATAACCCCAGCCAGGCTTTGTCTTCGTTCGAGGATTTTGCCAGCTTTTACAGTCAGAACCCTGACCTATTTCCACAGAATAATGTTTTCCCTGGCGGGACAGTTCAAGCCCTGGTGGGAAAAGCTTCCAAACCCCAGAACCCCTTCTCTTTCTTTCATATCCTCCTGTACTGAAATTCGACAAGTAAATTGTACGCAGTTTCATGCAACTAAGGGTTCCACTACAGCCAACATCCCTGTGAACTGGCAAAACTGTGCACACATCATATTTCTCCCGATCCCTTCCCCACCAGGCAAGATGGCCTCCAACAAACAACGCGTAAGTGAACCTGGTCCTTCGGGCAAGATCAAAACCAGGGTTCCATTGCTCCAGATTCACCTGTCGGTCGGTGGCTCGCGGTCGAGAAGCAGGGGCCAGCAGGCTCCTTCACGGAATTTGACTCCGTCCCTGCGAATGCACAGTTGAGGGCAAGGTTTCTGTGCGGTGTAACTGTAGCTGGTTATTTATACTGTACACATTTTCACCGCCTTTTTACTTCTGTATGAATTGCTGAGTTTGATAATGACCACTCGTCTGGGTGTCGTTATGTGCGTGGTTGGCTGGCTCCCCAATGATAAGGGATGACTCGGATGGAGAGGAGGTACGTACCTTCGTTTGGTGGGGGAAGTGCGCCATTCCAGTTGTCGTTGCGCGGTTCCTGGAACACACCGCCTGCCGCTCGCACGGAATGCCCTTTCCCCACCCCTAGGTGGCCCTTGCCTATTCCGCGCAAGCCATCCCCCTCCTCTAACAGGTGGTGTGGAACCAGAACAGCGCCGCCCACAGGCCACGCCTCCCATTTCTCAAGCACAGCAAGCAGACCAATCGTGCTCGCACGCCATCCCCGGCTCCAGATTCCATATTTGCTTGCCTACGACTAAGTGGTTTCACTATCCTTGGGGTGGCATTCCCTACAGCAGTCACGCTGGATTCTTTCGACTTGTTCCTGGTCTACGTAAAGCATTTCTATGGCCGATCCAAACGCGTGGAACGGAAACTCTAACTCCATATTTAAGCAGGATTCCCTCGCATCAGGTCCGTCCTGTCAGACAGAGGACCAACCACGTCACTCAAAGTTTTCTGACCGCGTCTGCAACAGCTTCAGTCAGAGGAATCGTATTAGCCATATTACCACTGTGCTAAACGCTTCAGGCGGGATTGCCGCAAGCGGACAGCGAAGGTGTGAGGGGAGCTCGAGGTCCCCGCCAGTGGTGTTCCTATTCGGCCAGCGGCTACAGCAGCACTCGATCGACCTCGTAATGGAGCCCGTAGAGGATCCCCACAAGAGTGCGCCAGTGATTCGTGGCGGATCAGACGTTCGGCAGCGACTTCCGCCAGTGGTTCGCCGGGCGTCTTTTCCTGACGATCTCGTGGTCGCGGGCGATCCTAACTTCACGTGGCGCGGCGACTCTGGCGGCGAAGCGCATCCGCGAGCGGCGTATTCGTCCCTCCACTCCGTCGGACCTGCTGACGACGCGCAGCTCGTACCTGCTGCGACAGCGAGCTTGAATCTTTCCCTTGGTCCTCCACGCGCTCTTTTGCCGTCCTCGAGGCAGCGAGCTCGCGACACCTTCGTCAAGAGCCTTCCCGCCGTCGCCATGGACGTCGCGGACGCTGCGGCGACTGCGACGGCGCATCGCGATGATCAGACCGGTGACGGGAATCTGACGGTTCGCACCTTCACGTTTCCTCTTCCCGCTGACGAATCTGCCTCGCCGTGTCCCGGTTTTAAGCGAGGCCGAGGCCCCGACCAAGACGACGACGACGACGACGACGGCGACGACGAGGTGCAAGGGCGGGAACGACCGTCGCGGTCTTCTTCCTCACCGTCCAGTGCGGGTGTCGCGAGACTGAGCCCTGCGAAGTTCGCAGGTCAGGGAAGCGGCGGCAGCGGCAAGAACAGCGAAGGATCCTCCCGCGGTAAGTTGTCAGGACGACGTGGCGAGCCGGCGGATGCGGCCTTGTCGACCGAGATCAGGCGAATCACTAGTGGCGCTCGTCTCGCTGCTCCGTCTCCCGTGCCACAGGCTCGTGCCGACCTAGACCGCCAGAGGCTGTCCCCCGAATCGCGCTTCCCGCAGCCTGTAAAAAACGCGCACACCACGGAATCGCCGCCGCCACTTACCCCCGCTCTCCCGCGTCCCGTGGGCCCGCATATTACGCAGCGCGACCGCGTCCATATGAGTTTCGCACGGGGCCCCCAGGCTCCGCAATTCCCGCAGCCGACGCCGCCACCTTTCCTGGGCGGCTCGACTGGTGTGGCCAGCTCCGCCGCCACCGCGAGCAGCGCTGCGGCGGCAGCTCCCGCCACAACTGTGGCTGCCTCCGGAGGGTGGAGTGGTCCCGACGGCTCGAGCTTGCTCATGCACAGGCGGCTTCTGCCCGTCGCTGATGCGGGGACGGGCTTGGGCGCACGGGGTGGCGACGAGAGGGGGCCCCATGCCCTTGGGGCGGAGGAAGAGCAGCGCGAGGCCGCCGCGGACGCGACAGGCGGAGGGGAGCACGGGTGGCAGTGGCACACGCGGCTACGGCGTGCGCGCACGGAGGGCCGGCTGCTGGGGGAGGTGTCGTCGCACAACAGCAACACGTTCGCGGCGGGCGACGAGCGCATGGCGGGGCCGCTGGGCTTGGCGCGCCTGGAGTGGCAGGGGCTGCTCGCCGCAGGCGCGGGCGGGAGGTTCGGTGGTGCTGAGGAGCGCATTGCGGCCTTGCTGAGGGGCGCGGGGGGAAACGCCACGGACAGTGGCAATGGCGGCGGGGAGACGGGGGTGAAGCGCGGAGCAACGTTTCTTACTCCGCGCACAGAGAGTAGCGGTCCTGGTTGGCAATTAGCGCAGCAGCAGCAGCAGCTGCAACTGCAGCAGATCAACGCAGCGGCGCTCGTTTCCGCTGCAGCTGCTGGCATTGCAGCGTCAACCCACCAAAGGCAGACGGCGCAAGAGCTGGCGGAGGCGCAGCCAGTGGCGCAACCGAGTCCCCCTCTGCTGCCGCGGTTGCCAGCTCAGCATCCAAGCGAGGGCGCGGTGCTGTCGCCCCACGGGGTGCCTCCTCGCCGCGTGTCCAGCTTCGACTTCTCACTTATGAGCCACAAAGTGCCCCCACCTCTCCCCCGCGCCGCATCGTACCGCGAACCACCCCCGGGCCCCACCGCTGCAGCAGCTGTAGCGGAGGGGAGGGCGGGCGGAGCTGGGTATGGCAGCGGCGCCGCAGACGTGGGAGGACGGCGCGGGTCGGAAACTGTGGGTGGGGGCGGGGCGAGCGTGGGTCGAAGCGGAAGGGCTGGGGGTGGGGGTGGGTCGACGACAACAGGAGTTGCCGGGGCTGTGGCGGGTGGGGGAAGCAAGGGGCGGTTGTGGTGTGGCGAGGAGGGGTACAAGTGCAAGGACTGCGGCATGCGCTTCACCAACGCACAGGCGCTGGGAGGCCACATGACGGCGCACACCAAGCGACGGCGCTCCAACTTCGCAAGCTACAGCTTCAGTGACATGGGGTCCGGCGGCAGCACCGCGTTCGCCATGGCAGGTCCCACCTCCATCGCGCCGCCCACTGTGCCTGCTGCAACGCCCACTGTGCCTGCTGCAACGCCCCTCGGCCTCGCTGCACCCCCTGCTGCCATCCCGTCAGGGGCGCCCCTTACGCACGCCGCTTCTGCAGCAGCGGCTGCCTACTTAGCCAGTGCAGGCGCAGGAGCAGCGGCAACTGGGGGAACAGTGCCATCCACGCACGCACATGCAGCGGCAAGTGTAGCAGAGCCCGTCCTAGGGTCGCTGCTTGGGCTGGGACTGGGTGGCGCAGGTAGCATGGGTGTGATGCGAGGCAGTGGTAGGGACGCGGGGGGGCACAGTTTGCAGGAGCAGAGGAGTGCAGCCGCACGACAGCAGATGGTTGGTGGGGGGAGGGCAGACCTGGGTTCGGGCATTGGTGTGGGCAGCAGCAGAGAGAGAGTGGGCAGAGGGTTTGAGGCGAGGGGTGGTCGAGGTGATGGCGGGGAGGAGCTGGAGTGGAGTGCGATGGGAATGCAGCGACAGCGATTGGTGCAGGCATCAGAGAGCAGCCAGCCCACAGTGCAATTCAAATCAGGTAAGCACCGAGGCGCAAGGGTGGAAGCTTCTGTTGTTCCGGTGTGCCAGTCTGCTTGGAATTTCACCTTCTCCTCTCCGCCCGCCCTTCCTGCCGTCTTTCCATCTCTCCCGTGCCCAGACCCGTCAGACATGTCGGCGCCAGAGCTGGTCTCAGCAAGAGCATGGTGTCAGCTGGACAGGTCCAGCGGAGGGGCATCCACGCCCCTTGCTGCAGGCCTATCTCCTTTCGCGCATGCTCTAGCGGCCACAGCTGTCCCTGGTGCAGATGGCCCCCTCTCCTCTGCTGCTGCTGCAGCTGTTGCAAACACGCACTGGGCTTCCTTCAACTCAGGTGCCAGTAGCACCCCTCAGCAACTCCCTGCCACCGCTGCTGCTGCAGCTGCTTCAGTCACCGCTGCGCTGAATCTTTCCCCTCATGCTTTCTCCCAGATGCCCTTTTTAGCAGCACTTTCTGCTTCTCCTGCTTCTGCTGCCGCTGCAGCGGCTGCTGCTGCAGCTGCCGCTGCCACAATGTCCGCTGCAGCACTACCAAGCATGGTGCATGCGCCGCATAGCCCCCTGCATGCAACAAGCTCTTTCGCCACGTCTCTTGCAGCTGCAGCTGTAGCCGCTGCAGCGGCTGCTAGTGCTGGTGCCAGGGAAACGTCACCTCAAGGCCGTGTAGCGGCAGAGCAGGTTACGCTACGTGGTACTCAGGCCATGCCAAGTTCGGTAGGTTGGAGTCGACATGACGACCAGTCCCTACCATCTGTAAGGCCTTCCTTAGATGGTGTTCCCAGTAGGCTTGCTGCAGAAGGTGGTGGAAACCAAGACACTGATGTGGAAGACCACAACGAAAGCAAGGTTCGGATTGACTTGAACCTTGCATTGTAGGAAACATCTGGAGTGTTTGATGATTTGCAAGAAGATGTCAACAAATGCTAGTGTGTGTTAGCATGAAGGTGTTGTACCGTATTCTCCCGGATAAAACACCCTAGGGTATTATGAAAACCACTGGGAAAAAAATGGGGTGGGTCTCCTCAAAGGAAAATCCTATATAATACCCGGGTCTTATGTTATGGTATACTTTTTATAAAACAGAAAAGATGTGAAACAAAATCAGGGGTCTGACTTCACTTCAAGATTGTTGATCAATACCGCAAAACCGAGTACGAGGATATTGTGGGCCACTTGGGCCACTTCACCTCTTGGACCACTCGCAGTGGAAGATTCGCCAGCGTGGCGAGGCGACAGCGAGATTTTGGGATTCACCAGCATGGCGACAGCGAGATTTTGGGATTCACCAGCGTGACGACAGCGAGATTGTGGGAGAGGGGATATCTCGGCTGATTCTAAGTGAAAGTACATGCGAAATTTCTTCTAGGGAGTGATTTTTGCGATATCCTCCCGTAAGGAATCGGACTCAATAACAGCTATAATAGGAATCTATAAGAAAAGGGGGGTGTTATAGAGAATCACCCCAAAAAGGGGGGTATAGTACCGTCATACCCCGGATATGCCCCCATGGGGGGCACTAATAAAACGTGTTTTTTTTTGGGGGGTGGGCTTATAATATTGTAATTTTATAAGCGCCGGGGCTTATACAATGACATATATGAAATCTAGTTGTTTTCAATTCAAAATGTTCATCTTGTCATTGCGATTTCAATCAAGTCAAGATCATAGTGGGTGTGAAGAATGATCTCGCGTAAGTTGGCAAACTGCCAACACACACAGTCAGAATGAGTCATTTCGCCCCATGACAGCTCATTCTGACTGGACGTGCAGTCAGTCGAGTCGCGCGAGGGTAAAGGGTCGAAATTTTATCAAGTGAGGATGCAAATAGTGTGTTTCGCTACAGAGATTCCAGTAACTTCATAAAAACTAATACAAATGGTGGCTCTTATAATACGTAAGCCTTCAGGGGGTGCGCTTATAATCGAGCACCGGATATAAGCGCCACACGCCAATTAAAAGCGCCAGGCGCTTATCCGCGGGTGGCGCTTATATCCGGGGTATGACGGTACTAACGTGGTCGGATATAACACCCACCCCGTATAAGCTACCCGGGGGTGTACAATTACGAGGGGGTGTTTTATCCGGGAGAATACGGTATCTGTGAAGCAAGGAAAAACAGGAATGACTAAGGAAAGATTGGGTACAAATACAACCCTAGAAACCCTGTACCCCATATGTGCTACCCCACTATAGCCTACAGCAACTATGTCATGTAAATCTGACACACCCCCATAGGCAAAGTGGGGGAGAACAAGGGGTCACAAGACCAGTCAAGCAAAGCAAAGCAAGCTCAGGGTGGATCACAAAGTCACCACACAGTCCGAGCACAAGAGTAGGGCCAGAGGCCAGTTCACATGCAGAAGTACAGACATATATATAAAACTAGACAAGCAAGAGCAGGCATATATATATGTCACAGTACAAGTGAAGTCAAGAGGAGAGCAAGTGAGGCAAGACAGGCACAAGACCCAGCTGGGTGCAAAAGCGCTGATGGTCACAAGGCGCGAGTGCCTTGGTGAACACATCAGCAGTGTTGGCCTCAGAGGCCACGTACGCAAGTCGCAACTGACCACGCTGCTGCAGCTCACGAGCAAGGAAGTAGCGGAGAGCAATGTGCTTCGTTCTGTGCTCCAAGCGCTGCTCTCGACACAAGGCCAGCATGGCCTTGTTGTCTACGTACAGCACTGGAGGAGAACGAGGCGGCTCTCCAAGGTCAGTCAGCAGGTAGGTGAGCCAGCGAAGCTCCTGTGCAGCCATGGCCCCGGCGTAGATCTCAGCCTCACAACTGGAGCCGAGAACCGAAGACGAGCGAGTAGACCGCCACGAGACAGAGCCGGAACCAAGGCTGAAGGTGTAACCCTGTGACGACCGCTGCGTAGCCTGGTCGTCAGCCCAAGAAGCGTCCGCGTGGCCGGTAAGGACCACTGGACTCCGCCCTCCAAGCACTAGCCCCATGCCCGACGTACTGCACAGGTAGCGCAATACCCTCTTCGCTGCAGCCATGTGCTCCGGTCTGTGTCTCCCAGGAGCAACATAGCGTGCAAGAATGCTCAGAGGGTATGCAAGGTCAGGTCGTGTGCAGGTCATCAGGTACATGAGGCAGCCAACAAGCTCTGCATACGGACCACTCGACTCTACGGACTCATCCGAAGGCAGAGCTGAGAGTGAGTGGCGAGTAGGCAGAGGAGTGGCCTGAGGCGAGGAGTACGTGAAGCCGAAGCGCTGAAGGACCTGCTGCACCATGTGTGACTGAGTCAAGGTAATGGTGCGGCGTGCTCTGTCCCGAGTGATCTGCAAGCCAAGGTAGCTGCGCAGTTCACCCAGGTCTGTACACGTGTGTCTCTTCAGCAGCTCGAACTTCACGTAGGCGAGTCCAGCAGTGTCCGCTGTGGCAAAGACCAAGTCGTCGACGTACACGAGGATGTAAAACGGCGGCAGGGAAGTGTCGGTGCGAAGAAACAGCGACGGGTCAGCAGTAGAAGGAGCAAACCCAAGAGCCGCAAGAGTAGTCCTCAGTGTGTCGTGCCACTCACGCGGTGCCTGGCGGAGACCGTAGACTGGCCGTCGGAGGCTTCACTGGGTGCCAGGAGGGAAAGTCCCAGTGAAGCCAGGTGGACGGCGAAGCCAGATCTCCTCGTGCAGGCTACCCTGCAAGAACGCAGTGCTGAAGTCGAGAGAGTGAAGCTCGTAGTCGCGCTGAGCGGCTATGTGCAGTAGCACCCGAAGAGTAGTCATCTTCGGGGTGGGAGAGAAGGTCTGAAAGTAGTCAACTCCCTGCCGCTGATTGAAGCCACGAGCAACGTACCGTGCCTTGAAGACAGGTGGAGAGCCCGGCGGCCGCTTCACCCTGAAGATCCACATGCCACTGACGATGTTCGCCCCAGGAGGGGGAACCGCGTCAACGTAGGTGCCTGTGGACTTCCAGGAAGCCATCTCTGCATCCATAGCTGCCTGCCACTGAGAGGAGTAGGGACCCTCTACGGCCTCCGCGTAAGAACGCGGAGTCGGGATGTCTAGTGCATCCGGGTCTCCCTCAGGGGCAAGCAGTACAGACGCGAGATGAGGTGAAGCAGCCGCTAGACACTGTAACTCCTCCTGCCTGTCCTCTAGGACGTCCGTGCCAAGAGCACACTCACCCCCGACGGACGGAGGACAGACAGACGCAGACTCAGCAACAAGACTCGCAGCGTAGTCGAGACGACAGCGAGCAGCAAAGTCGACGAGCTCAGCGACTAGAGCAGACGCAGCAGTGGACTCAAAAGAGGGGTCAGTGACGACAGTAGCAAGCAGACGCGTGACAGTAGGACTGGCAGCACGAAGAGAGTCCGACTCCGGGTCGGCAAGCGCAGGAAGAGAGGACTCAGGAGGAGAAGGCAAAGGGGCACGCAGAGGAGCAGTGGACGGACGCAAAGACATCCGGTGCGTGCCAGGGACAGGAGGAGGACGCTGACGCGAACTGCGACCACTAGCGCGAGCAGCACGAACAGGCGACGCGGGACGAGACGCAGGCTCACGACGCTCAGCAAGACCTCCAGTAGGACCAGTGTAAGGAGAGGGAGCAGGCAGTGGAGAGGAAGGCTCCAGCAGGGACTGCGACTGGACAGGCGGTGGACCCTCTACTAGAGGAGAAAGACCAAGAACCTGCTGCAGGAGCGGAACGAAGTACGGCCGAGGCCGCGCGGCAGCTCCAGACTCAGCAGGGATAGCACCACCACCCTCAGCGACAGCACCAGCGCCACCCACACCTCCAGCGGTAGGACCAACAGCAGTAGGCTCAGCACCAACGCCCTCAGCAGCTCCAGCTCCAGGAGGACCCGCAGGTCCAGCAGCTCCGGGACCGGCAGCACCCGCACCCTCGACGGTCGAAGAAGCTCCAGCTCCAGCTCCAGCTCCAGCAGCACCTCCAGACTCAGCAGCACGCCTCCAACGGCGAGCGAACCACTCGCGCAGCTCCTGTGGAGAGAGGGGCTCCCGGCGAGACGCAGCAGCAGGAGAAACCCCAGGCTCAGCAGCTCCAGACGCAGCACCCCCAGGCTCAGCAGCTCCCGACCCAGCACCCCCAGACCCAGCACCTCCAGGCACAGCACCCCCAGGCTCAGCACCCCCAGGCTCCGCACCCTCCGCAGTAGCACCCTCAGGCCCAGTACCCCCAGCAGTAGCACCCCCAGGCTCAGCACCCCCGCGCACAGCACCCTCAGAGTCAGCACCCCCAGGCTCAGCACCCGCAGCAGCACCAGAGTCACCAGTAACCTCCACCGGGTCAACGGCGTCTACCTGGGACACACTTGAGGGGGCAGGAACCTGAGGGGGGAGGGGGTCTACCGGGGGGGGAACCGGCACAAGGAAGTCCGGGGGAGGGGGGAGGGAAGGAGTGCGGTAGGGGAAGAGACGGTAGAAGGGGACTGACTCGTCGAACGTGACGTCCTGGGAGGACAGAACACGACGAGAGGAGGGGTGGTAAAACTGCCACCCTGGGGCGTCAGTGGGGAAGCCAAGGAAGACACAGGGAGCAGCACGAGGGGACAGCTTGTCCGCAGACAAGTCGCGGACAAACGCCCGAGATCCCCAGACACGGAACACAGACGCATCGCCAACCTTCCCCGTCCACAGCAAGGCTGGGGACATCGCAGGCCGAGAGACCCGGGGGTGAAGGTTGAGCTGATGCGCCGCGTACCTCACCGCAAACGGCCACAGAAAATGGGGGGCAGCCGCATGCATCATGGACGTACGAGCGACATCCACGACCATGCCAATGCGGCGCTCAGCAATCCCATTTTGCTGTGGTGAGTCCGGAAGCGTGAAGGTCTGGCGGATCCCCCGTGCACGACAGTAGTCCCGCAGAAGGCGAGAAGAGAACTCTCCGCCTCTGTCCGAGTGCAGACGCAGAACAGGAAAGTCCGAGCCGAAGCTCTGCCTGAGCTGGAGACGAGCCTCGCGGATCCAGTCGATCAGCACCTCAGTGTCTGCACCCTTTCTGCGCAAGGGGAGGACTGTGGTGTAACGCGAGTAGTCGTCAACCACCAACAGGAAGTAGCGCTCGTAACCCTGCCCACGGACGGGGGCTGGGCCCCACACATCCATGTGAAGCGTCTGCAGGGGAGCCTCTGTCGGGGGGAAGTGGGAGGAGTGAGGAGTAGCCCGGAGGCGACCCTCGACACAGGGGACACAGGAAGGTCCTTGCCCGGAGGGGAGAGGAGGGAGAGACTGGGGAAGACCAGAGACAAGGACACGGGAAGCCATGCTCCGAAGACGGGGCAAGGAGGGGTGGCCAAGACGGTGGTGCCACAGGAGAGTCTCGTGAGACAGGAGGCGACACGAACAGGGGGCAGACTCAGGACCTGACCGGGACGCAGCAGCAAGCACCTGACCCGACGCAGCCACCTGACCAGACGCAGGGACAGGAGGAGACTCAACGGTCAGGGTGTAGAGACTCGACCCCGGCCGACGCGAGAACGTGGCCAGGTGTCGGTCTGTGCGTGCCTCCGTGCAGTGGGTCACCCGCTGACGCGCAGGAGTGAACTGGTGAACCCCCACATCCTGCAGGTCCGCTCCACTCACCAAGTTCGTAGAGAACGAGGGAAGGTACAGACCAGACAGGGTGCCCGAAGGGGCAGCCGGACACGGGAGGACAGTGGAGAAGTGAGAAAGGACAGGACCCCCAGAGGGGTCAGCAAGGGAGACCGCAACCGGCCGGCCGAGCGGCGTAAGGGTAGTGCGGTCTCGAAAGAAGGAGCGAGAAGCCCCGGAGTCAAGTGTGAAAGTGAGGGAGGACGAGGACGACGCAGTACCTGAGAGCGCAGTCTCACCAGTACCTGAGAGCGCAGTCGCACTGGCACCTAGAGCAGCAGCCTCACAAGCACCTAGCGCAGCAGTACCAATGCCCGGGTCGGGCTGGAAACACCGGTAACCCTCATTCTCCTCACTATAATCCACAACATACATAGCAGCAAGGATAGCATCAAAATCAAGATCAAAGATCGCTACACCAGCCCTGAGAAGCTCATCCCAGCGAGGGATCTCACTAGCCCCAGGGAACTGCTGACGCCAAGCGTCCGTCAGGCGGCAAAAGCAGCGCTGGGTGGCGTGGGCACCCCCACACTGCTCACCCGCGCGGTCGCCGGAACGAAGAACGTAGGTGCAGGGACCAGTACCCCCACCCCTCTGACGCCCAGCGTACCACTCACGAAGCTGCTGAGGCGGAGGGATGTCCCGCGAGCGCTGCTGCTGCTGCCGCTGCGAGCGCTGGCCACCACCACCGCCGCTACGCTGCTGGGTACCACCTCGACCAGCTCCACCTCCTCCACCACCACCGCCTCCTCCGCTGCCGCCTCCACCGCCTCCACCTCCGCCGCCTCCACCACCGCCGCTGCCTCCACCACCACCGCTGGCACCACCACCACCGTCTCCGCCACTGCTGCCACCACCACCACCACCCCCGCCACTAGTCCCGCCGCCACCCCCACTCCCTCCGCCGCCACCGCCGCCACCGCCACCGCCCCCTCCAGCTCCACCCGCGCCCTTGCCCCCCTTGCCCTTGCTGGAGCGACGTCTCCCACTAGGGGCAGACGCCGCGCCGACCGACTCAAGACCAAGCAGGTCGGCAGCAGCAGCAGAGGCAACAGAGGGCAGCAAGGGGGAAGGAGAGCACCCCTCAAAGATGGGGGTGCGAGGGTCACCACGAGAAGCACCTACAGCGACTATGCTCTTCTCCGCTGCAAGGAGGGCCTTCTCGAGGAGGTCGACGGTGAGGGTGGTGGGACAGACTGCGAGAAAGTGGTCCCTGACGACGCAAAGGGAGTCAGGGAGGCGCGCGACTACGTAGTAGAGAGCGATGTACATGGGGGGGGGGTTCTTAGCGCAGAACTCAGCAGGAAGGGCGGCGCGGTAGCGAGTGTCACTAGTGCGGAGGTGAGTAATGAGGTCAGCGACAGTGGGAAAGGCAGAGAGGTCAGGAAAGAGGTAGGGAAGCATGAGACGGCTCAGTGCAGCAGTGGCAGGGGAGGAGTAGCGCGCAACTACAGCGTCGTACAAGGTCTGAGCACTCTTGTACTGACTAAAGTGCGCACGCTCAGAGGTAGGGAGGTGGCGACGCACAGCAAGACGTGCAGCAGCATCGCGGGTGGCCCACTTAGAGCGGACAGTGGGATCAGCATCAGCAGCAGGGGCAGGAGAGGCGCCAGAGGTGAGGTCAAAGAGAGAAAGGTCGTCAGCCCTGTCGCACTGTAAGAACAGCTGCAGGTCGTCTAACCAGACCTCAAAATCAATGGCGCGACCCTCAGCGTCAAAAGCTAGGACACTAGGGGTAGCCATGGCGACGACAGCGACGCAGTGCAAGCAGTAGGGAAAGAGCTCGCAGTGTCAGTGGGACTGTGCTCACCAGGCAGGGCAGGTCGTGCAGCTCTGCAGAAAGGCGGCTCAGCGACCGGGCGGCTCGGGTGCACAGCGGCTCGATGGCTGGGCGGCTGGGGCGCAGGGCGGCTCGGCTCCCGGGCGGCTCGGCGGCAGGGCGGCTCGGGTCCCGGGCGGCTCGGCGTTGGGCGGCTCGGCTCCCGGGCGGTTCGGCTGCTGGGGGCGGCTCGGCCGGGAGATGCAGGGGCGGGGCCGTCAGGTGCAGCGGCGGGTCGACCGGTGCAGTGGCGGGCCGGCAGGTGCAGTGGCGGGCCGGCAGGTGCAGCGGCGGGCCGGCAGGTGCAGCGGCGGGCCGGGAGGTGCAGGCGGCGGGCCGTAGGGTGCAGCGGCGGGCCGTAGGGTGCAGCGGCGGGCCGGCAGGTGCAGCGGCGGGGCCGTCAGGTGAAGCGGCGGGCCGCTGGGTGCAGCGGCGGGCCGGCAGGTGCAGCGGCGGGCCGGCAGGAGCAGCGGCGGGCCGGCAGGAGCAGCGGCGGGGCCGTCAGGTGAGGCGGCGGGCCGGCAGGAGCAGCGGCGGGCCGTAGGGTGCAGCGGCGGGGCCGGCAGAGGCGGCGGGCCGTAGGGTGCAGCGGCGGGGCCGTCAGAGGCGGCGGCGGGGCCGCGGCAGTAGAGGCGGGGCCGCGTCAGGGGAGGCGGCGGGGCCGCGAGGGAAAAGGCGACCCGAGGGGTCGCTAAAAAAAAAAGGCGCGCCTCGGGGCGCGCTTCGGTGGGCCCTAAAAAAACGGTCCTAAGGCAGGACCCGCTCTATACCATGTGAAGCAAGGAAAAACAGGAATGACTAAGGAAAGATTGGGTACAAATACAACCCTAGAAACCCTGTACCCCATATGTGCTACCCCACTATAGCCTATAGCAACTATGTCATGTAAATCTGACAGTATCTTGTAGTGCTTAATGCCAGGTATTGATTGTGCAAGATCTTCCCAAAAATTACACACCTGGAAGCCATGATGAGAATTATCCTGTTTTTTTTTAAGCGAATGTGCGGTCAGTACCGTATGACATTTTTGGCACATTATGCTGAAGTGGGTGAGCTTACGGAACTATCATAAGCCGTACATAGGATTTTCAAACTCGTTTATGTATGTTTCTGGGTTGGCTCATGTTATGAGTTGTAAAGAGAGTGCGCAGGTAAACGAATAACGAGGTTGTGACTCAATGAACTGCGAATACAATGAATGCACAGACTAATGTAGGGCTAGCCTAGCTAGGAGGAAACCTCGGACAAGCGAGGTTGGGTGCAGGTTTGGCGATGGGAATGCCGAAGGCGACGCGAGGAGCCTCGGCAGCGTTGAAATCGGCCGAACGTGCGAACTCCGAAAATCGGGTTGTACGCGAAGCAGTCAACCCCGATAAGGAATTCGGGAAAATTCCTTATACCACCCCCCCCCCCCCCCCTTAAAGCCCAAGACCTGAATTACTCAACGGAAGTCAACGCTAAAAACTAAGTTCGGGAGGCAGGCACGGAGAGGATCGGCTGGGTTGCGAGAGACTTTCACTCGCGAAACCAATTTGCGACAAAAGTTTCTCGCTTCCCATGATGGGTGGGGTCCTTCCCACAACTAGAAAAGCACGTGCATACCAAACTGTGCACAGTTTGAGACAGCACGCAAGGTATTAGGCATAGAGCATACCTGTAGACAGGGCAGGGCGTCGGCGTTCACTCAAAAGGGATCAAATGCGCCTTAGGATGTGGGTGGCGCCGATTTCGGTGATGACGCGCAAAGCTAGTGTTCGCTAGGTAAAGATTTTTGTGTCGAAATGCAAGTTATTGTGCAACTACTGCGTAGCGTAAACTCGCGACGAAAATCGAATCGCACCTGTTCGCCCAAGCGTGAGAATCCCCTCGCCCTCGCCTTCCTTTCCCTAGGTCCCATGCGTCCGCTCTCTGTCGCCAGCGTCGTCGCCATCGCTTCCGCAGCTCGTCGCGTTTGCGACCCCAGCCCGTCGCCTTCGATCCGCCCGTCGCCTTCACTTCCCCCCCGTCGCCCCTACTCCCCCCCCTCCCCCCGCTCCGTTGCCTTCATTTCCCCCTCCCGTCGCCTTCACTTCCCCCTCTCGTCGCCTTCACTTCTCCCCCTCCTGTCGCCTTCACTTCCCCCCCGGAGTGTTCGCCTTCACTTCCCCCCATCCCGTCGCCTTCACTTCCCCCCCGGAGTGTTCGCCTTCACTTCCCCCCTCCCGTCGCCTTCACTTCCCCCCCTCCCGTCGCCTTCACTTCCCTCCCTCCCGTCGCCTTCTCTTCCCCCCCTCCCGTCGCCTTCTCTTCCCCTTCCCGTCGCCTTCACTTCCCCTTCCTCTCGCCTTCACTTTCCCTTCCCGTCGCCTTCACTTCCCCTTCCCGTCGCCTTCTCTTCCCCTTCCCGTCGCCTTCTCTTCCCCTTCCCGTCGCCTTCTCTTCCCCTTCCCGTCGCCTTCTCTTCCCCTTCCCGTCGCCTTCTCTTCCCCTTCCCGTCGCCTTCTCTTCCCCCTCCCGTCGCCTTAAATTCCCCCTTCTGTCTGCTTCAATTCCCCCTTCCGTCGCCTTCACTTCTCCCCCCCGATGCCTTCAATTCCCCCTCCGGTCGCCTTCCCCGCATGCCGCACTCGCTTTCCCGCCCTTCACACTTGCTTCCCCACCCGTCGCCTTCACTTCCCCTTCCATTGCCTTTCGCTCTCTCCTGCTCACTCTCCCTGCTCACTCTCTTTCCCACTGCTCACTCTCTTCCCCCTTGCCCACTCTTTTCCCCACCCTTCACTCTCTCCTCTCCTGTTCACCCCCTATTCTCACCCCTCTTCCCCCCTTCACTCAACCGTTCCCCCCTGCTCAACCTCTTTCCCCCCGGCTCACACTCTCCCCCCCCCCTCCCCCAACTCTCTTTCCCCCTGCTCACTCGCTTCCCCCCTCCTCAATCTCTTTCCCCTGCTCATTCTCTTTCCCTTTGCTCACTCCCCTTGTGCTCACCCCACTTTCCCCAATTCTCACCCATTTTCGCCTTCACGCTCTCTTACCCCCTCTGCTATCCCCTGTTTTCCCAGCTCACTCCTATACTCACTCTCTCCTCCCCTGCTCACTCACTTGCCCCCTGCTCACTCTCTTTCCCCTTGCTTACTCTCTTCCCCCCCTACTCACCTTCTTCCCCCTGTTCTCACCCCTCTTTCCCCCTTTCTCACCCATTTCCCCCTTGCTCGGTCTATTTCCCCCTGTGCTCATTCCTAAATTCCCCTGCTCACTCCCTTACCCCCTGTATTCACCCATCGTTCCTATTTCCTCTTGTTCACTCTCTCCCCCTCTGCTCTCTCTCTTTCCCCCTGTACTCACCCTTTTTTCCACCTTATTTACTCTCTATTCCCTTTCATTCAACCCTTTTTCCCCCCCAAGTCCTCTCATTTCCCTTGTTCACATCCCTCCTTAGCCCCATGCTTACTGGCTATCCCCTTTGCTTATCCCCTTCTCCACCCTGCTTACTCTCTTTCCCGCTTCGCTCACTCTGCCTAACTCCTCCCATACATGCCCTCCACCTTCACCCCTCGTGTATTCTGCCATATCCCCTCTTCCCTCCCCGTTCCTTCCAAACCCATGCTTGTACAGGTTCCCAGGACCATGAGTCCCAACAGGAGTGGGTTGAAAAGTTACCAACTCCTAGCTTTGTGCTTGTGCTTATTTAGTCTTGTCTTATCTTGTTTTGTGATGTGGTGTATTATGAGACGCATCCAACCAATATCAATAACAATACACTGCATAGCTATTGTAGACGACTAGTATCATCAAACCCTATACTCATCACGACTGGATGCATGGCAGACCTGCATAGACACGAACCACAAACTCTGATGCACGGTGGGGAACAAAGAATGCACGGAGGCAGAAAATGAGCAAGGGAGACACAGAGGAAGGGCGGATGAGATGGTGGGCGGATGAGATGATGGGGGGATGAGATGATGGGCGGATGAGATGATGGGGGGATGAGATGAAGGGGGGATGAGATGATGGGGGGATGAGATGATGGGGGGATGAGATGATGGGCGGATGAGATGATGGGCGGATGAGATGATGGGGGGATGAGAAGATGGGGGGATGAGATGATGGGGGGATGAGATGATGGGCGGATGAGATGATGGGGGGATGAGATGATGGGCGGATGAGATGATGGGGGGATGTGATGATGGGGGGATGAGATGATGGGGGGATGAGATGATGGGGGGATGAGATGATGGGGGGATGAGATGATGGGCGGATGAGATGATGGGGGGATGAGATGATGGGGGGATGAGATGATGGGCGGATGAGATGAAGGGAGGACGGGAGGAAGGGAGGACGGGAGGAAGGGAGGACGGGCAACAGAGAGGGTAAAGAGGGTAGTGAGGCAAAGAGATGGAGGAAGGGAGGAAGGGAGAGGTAGAGGAGGACGGCTGAGGGGGAACGACGGAACGGAGTAAGGGAGGAGGGCAAGAGGTATAAGTGTGGCAGGGTATAAGGGGGATCGGAGGATCCCTGCACCCTCTCTCCCTCATCCCCGCCTCCCCCGCCCCCCTAACCCGCCCCCTGCAGCACTGCACTCCTTGCTGCCCGCTTACGCGCGCTGCCCTGGCTGTGCCCCCAACACTCTGCTCCAAAGCCTCATCACCACCTGCCATGCGTGCGGGGTTGGTGCGAGAGAGGAGAGGAGGTCAGTGCAAGAGAGAAAAGGGTGGGTGCTGCTGACCACACACCCTTCCACACCCCACAACGAACGAGTCACGACCCCTTTCCCAGCTCCCAGCCCAGCCCGCCATACCTCCCCGCCCAGGGTGGGTGAGAGGCTGATGGGGAGGGAGAATGAGAAGAAGGAAATAAGGGTGCAAGGGTGGGGTGGTCACTATGGGCGATGGTAGGACTAGAGAAGGTGGTAATAGGGAAGGAGTACAACGACGACCCTAAATGCGATGGGAAGGGATGAGAGGGTGGAGACGCGATGGTGAAGAGGGGGAACGTGATAGGCAGGGGAGTGATGACGACGTGGAGAGAGGTGGGAGAGAAGGGAGGTCGACGGTGGGAGGAATGCGGAGATAACTGCTGCAACGGGAGCTAGACTACGGGCTAGGCACGTGTGCTCGTGTGATCTCTGCGTTCGTTCACTCAGTCGTTTCCTTGTGTTCACGCTGCTAGCTAGTTCACGGGGAGAAATGGCAAGAGTTTCACTAGGAAAACATGACAACAATGGTAGCAAGAGTTTCGCAGGTGCGCGCAGCTGGTTGGTGTGCACTTCCTTGTCACGTGCCCAGCGCAGACGCCTGGCAGACTCCACGCCAGCGACTGCGCCCACCAGCCACGTCGACCTCGGGATACCACCCCCGAGGTCGGCCTCACATACTCCACCCTGGCGACACTCGCACACATTGCCCGGGTATCCCGGTCGACCGGGCAACCACGCCTGGCCGACCAGCGCAGTCCGTAGCCGGCCACGCATGCCCGGTGTCCCCAGTCCGGCGTCCAGGCGCCCAGGACGCCTTCCAAACCCCCAGGTCGGCGTCCAGACGCCCAGGACGCCGAGCAAACCTCCAGAGCGGCGTCCCTCCTCCCAGGACGCCGACCAGACGCCCAGGTCGGTGTCTGGGCCCCCCGGGACGCCCAGGTCGGCGTCCGGACCCCCAGGACGCCGTGCAGACGCCTAGGTCGGCGTATGGCCTTCCAGAACGCTGTGCAGGCGCCCACGACGTCGACCAGGCGCCCGGGTAGTCGTGGCGATGCCCAGCTCGGCGTCCAGCTTCCCAGGACGCCGTCCAGGCGTCCAGGACGCCAACCAGGCGTCCAGGGCGGCGTCCTCCTGCTCGGCGCCCTCCAGCCAGGCGCCCTCCAGCTTGGCGCCCTTGCAGTGGCCCCCGTGCCCACTGCTGCAGGTCGGCTGCAACCCCCGCACATCCAACCACAAGGTTGGCTCCGCCCAAGCGAGGACGGGGCCTTACAACGCTCCCGTTGACACTCCCCTGCCGCGTTCACGCTTGGGCTCCTAGCCCACACGGCAGTACAGCTCCGAGAATAGCCCGTCGGCATGCACCCAACACACAGCACGCCGGTCACCGCACCAGCCATGCAAGAGGGCATGGCACCTACTGCTGCACGTCGTTGTCGCCGTCGCCCACGTCGGCCAAGCGCACCTGGCCGATTGCGACGGAGCACCGGTTGGGATGTACTGCAGCGAGAGCTTCCCGCGCTTCACCATGTGCTGCAGCCAGGCCTGTCGCCGCTCCATGTGCTTGAGGTTGCCTGTCAACCCCATGCCTTCGGTGACCGTGATGGCCGACTTGTTGTCCACGCGCAGGACGGTCGGCTTCCCGGCGTCCAGCTGCCGGAACTCGGCGAGGAGGAAGCGAAGGCGGCGTCCCTCCTTGCCAGCTTCAGTGGCCGCCACGTACTCCGACTCGGTCGACGACAGCGTCGCGCACTTGATGCGCTGGCTCGACCAGGAGACTGCGGCCCCACCGTAGACGAACACGTAGCCACCCGTGCTCGTCCTGTTCTGCTTGTCACCGGCGTCGTCGGCGTCCACGTAGCCGACCAACTCGAGCGACTCAGGTCCACCGCCGAACTCCACGGCGGTGTCACGTGTGTTGGCGAGGTAGGCAAGGCAACGGTAGACCTCGCGCCAGTGCTGGTCGCTCCTCACCGTGAGGCCGCTCCCCAGCTTGCTGCAGGCAAAGGCGATGTCCGGCCTCGTCGTCGTCGCCGCGAACTGCAACGAGCCGACCTTCTGCCGGTACTTCTCCTCCTGCCGTTCCTGCGCCTCCTTGTCGTCGAAGGTGAGCTCGGCGTAGGCGTCCACCGAGACCGGCGTCTTCGGGGTGCGCCCGGTCTGCTCCTCGTCGATGAAGCGCCTACGTAGCTTGTCGGCGTAGCCCTGCTGGTGCAGCCACAGCTTCCCCGCCGACCTGTCGCGCAAGATCTCCAGCCCAAGGTACTTTTGCACCGGCAAGATCTCGCGCAGCTCGAAGGCGGCTTCCAGCAGCTCCTTCAGCTCTGTCAGCATCGCGGCGCTGCTGCTGGCGGCAAGCAGGTCGTCAACGTAGACCAGCACCCAGCAGGCCACTCCGTCCTTGCCGACCTTGAAGTAAAGAGCCTCGTCGACCTGGCTCTTCTTCCATCCGGCGCCGACCAGCACATCGTTGAGCGCCAAGTACCACAGCAGCGGCGATTGCTTCAGCCCATACAGGCTCTTCAGCAGCCTGCACACCCGGCCAGATCCGTCGTTGAAGTAGTCCGGCTGGTGCATGTACAGCACCCGGTCGAGCTTGCTCTGGAGGAAGGCGTTCTTCATGTCGAGCTGCATCAGGTTGAGGTTGAGGACGGCGACGATGCTGAGGAAGATCCTCAGCGTGACGTAGCTGCCCACCGGCGCGAACGTCTCGTCGTAGTTGGCGCCGTACACCTGGGTGAAGCCCTTCACGACCAGCCTCGCCTTTTCTCGCTCGACGGTGTCGTCGATGTGGTACTTCGTCGTCAACACCCATCGGTTCTTCATGATGTTCACTCCCGGCGGGCGTTCGACCAGCTCCCACGTTCCCATGTTAAGGAGGCTGCGAATCTCCTCCTCCATGGCGGCCTTCACCGCCGGGCCCTTCCAGCTCGCCAACGCCTCCTTCACCGTCATCGTCGAGATGTCCCAACGGTGCTCGGGGTCGGCTAGCATGTCGGGGTCAAGCTCTGGAAGCTCCTCATCCTCCTCGGCGTCGTCGTACAGCAGGTCGTCGTCATCATCGTCCACGTCGTACACCGTGGTGAAGGCAGCGGGGACAAAGAAGTCAGGCGGCCTCCGAAGTCGGCCTGAACGCCGTGGTCCCGGCTGGACCTCCTCAGCGTCCCCTCCATCGTCGCTGTCGTCGCTGCCCTCGGCGTCCTGCTGCTCCTCAGCCGGCGTCCCAGCCGACTGCTCCCCTGTGGTCGGCGTCCTAGCCAACTTCTCCCCTGTGGTCGGTTCCCCTGCCGACGGTCCGGTCGCCGACTGCTTCTTGGTCGGCGTCGCTGCTGCCTGCTCCCTTGTCAGCTGCTGTTCTGCAGGCGCCTCCTTTACCGGTTTCACCAAAGGCGTCTGCACCACCTGCTGCCTCCCAGTCGGCGTCAGATTCGCTCCCACACCGACTTGCACAGCATCACGTTGGCCACCGACGATGCTTGGGGCCGGCGCCACAGGTGACGCCCCACGTCTCCCCTCATCACCGAAGGCCAACGTCGGGGTCAGCCCATGCAAGTCGGCGTCGAGGGGAGGGCCAGGTGAAGGGTAGGGACCGGGGACGTCCTCGGCGTCCTCACCAGCAAGCGCAGCGACCTCGGCGAGCAGAGGCACCGACGCCGTCGAGGTGTCCGTTGGCGGGTGAACCGGCATCCGCCCTGACACCGGCCCGTGCGCCGACTTCCACATGTCCAGCGACATGCTCTCGTAGAACACCACGTCCGACGTGGTGACCACCCGGTTGTCGGAGATGTCGAGGAGCTCCCAGCCCTTGCTCTCCTCTGACACGCCGAGGTGAAGGCCCCACCGTGCCTTCGGCTGCAGCTTCCCACCACGCTGCTGCTCGGGGACTAAGAACTGCGCCATGCAGCCCCAAACCCGCGCCAGCAACAAGTCGGGCTTCTTCCCGGTTTGCAGCTGGTACGGCGTCGTCCCCGGCGGCAGCGCCGACCTCTCAAGGTAGTTGCGGACCCAGACGGCCTGCCGGAGAGTGAGGTGCCACCAGTGGTGCTGCACGCCCATGTGCAGCAGCATCGTCCGCACCGACTCCACCACCGTCCTCATCTCCCGCTCCGCCATGCCGTTCAGCTGCGGGGTGTATGGGCAGGTCAGGTCGTGGACGATCCCCTTGCCGTTCACAAAGTCGGTGAATTGCTTCCCGAGGAACTCCCCTCCCTGGTCAGAGCGTAGCATCAACACCGACTTCTTCGTCTGCCGCTCAGCCACCGCCAGCCATTGCACGAACACCGGCAACGCATCTGACTTCTTGGCGACCGGCTTCACCCACACGTAGCGGGTCTTGCGGTCCTTCAGCAACAAGAAATACAGGCTGCCATCCTTGGCAGCCACGCGGAACGGCCCGCACAGGTCGATGTGCACGACGGCCAGCACGTCGTCGGCGTCAGCGCCTTGGTCGGGGAAGGTGTGCCGCGCCAGCTTCCCGCCGACGCACGAGACACACGGTGAGTCGGCGTCGGACGCCGACTTGAGGTCCAGCCCGGTGGCGACCTCGTGCTCCGCTGAGCTCCGGATGGTGTCCAGGCCGACGTGCGGAAGCCTAGCGTGCATCCTGTCCGGCGTTGCCTTCGTCGCCGAGACGATCGCGTGCAGGGCCACTACCTCCGTGGTAGGCGTTGTCGGCGTGGCCGAGCAGGGGCGCAGGTCGGTGCAGAGGACACGCCCGGTGTACGTCGCCCGACCGAGCACATCCCCTGCTGCCGAGACGAGCAGCATCCCGTCGCCGTCCTCCTGCAACTTCACGCCGTGCTCCTTCAGCTGGCCGGCTGAAAGCAGGTTTGCCCGGACGCTGGGTACGTAGAGCACATCGGGGATGTGCACCTGCTTCCCGGCCTCCCTTGCAGAGCGACAGTGCCGCGGCCCTGAACGTCCTGGAGCGCCCCATTGAAGCCGCGCACGTGCTTCACGTCGCCGCTCGGCCCCAAGTCGACGAAGGCCTCCTTCGTCCCCATCAGGTGGTGCGAGCAGCCCCTGTCGAGCAGGACCACCGCTAGGTTCGCCTGCATAGCTGCTGCTACCGCCTGGAAGTCCTCACCGGCCTCCGGCGCCAGTGAGACGGTCGGCTCCACGACGCCGACCAGCGAGCACGACGCCGCCTTGACGTCTCGCCCCTTGCCGCGTGCAGAGGAGTCAGCGTCCGTCGCCGAGGCCGACTTGCTCGACTGCTTCTCCTTGCGCGGCTTGTTTTCTCCTCGACGAGGACGACGACTGCCAGACCTCCCGCGGCCTCCCTTGGCGTCGTCGTCGTCGGAGTCACTGCGGTCGGGGCACTTGTAGGAGAGGTGGTCGGGGTCGCCGCACAGCCAGCACTCCCGTCGTCGACCTCCTCCTCCTCGACCGCTGTCTTTGGCCGACCTCTTCTTGTCGGTGTCCCTGCTCGGCTTCCAGCCACTGCTACCGCCGCCGCCCGACTGCCCACGCTGCCCTGGTCGGCCTCCTTGCTTTGTCGGGGCGACGAAGTTGGCCTGCGCCAAGAGCTCCTGGGATCGCTCGGCCTCCTTCATCGCCTCGTCCTGCAGGATATACGAGGTCAAGTTATCCTCGTTGAGCGTCATCCTCGTGCTCGGCGCCATGGACAGCCGCTTCAGGAGGTTGTAGCTGCTCGAGAGCCCCTGCATGACGTGGGTGACGTACGACGCCGTCGAGTACTGGGCGCCGGCCATCCTGATGGTGGCGAGAATTCGCCGGGCCCGGTTGAAGTAGTCGGTCGCCGTCTCCTCGTCGCCCATGCGCAGGTGCGTCAGCTGTCCCTCTAGCTGGGCGATGAACAAGTCGTCGGTGACTTGGTAGGTCGACTCGATGAAGTGCCATGCCCGGTGGCCGCCGTCGAGGTACTCTCGGCACCATTTCAAAGCGATCTGCACGCCTGGCGAGCAGCACCGCGAGATGACCGTGAAGGTCAACAGCTGCACGGCGCGAAACTCTGCACGCAAGTCGGGGTGGTGCTCCCCCGGCGTCGCCACGGTCCCTCGGGCGAAGCCGATCAGCCCGGCCATCTCCAGCTGGGGCTCGACGGCTTCCTTCCAGGTGAGGATGTCTTGTCGACCAACGAGCGGCGGGGTGACCGAGATCCTGTCCGGCGTAAACTTGAAGTAGCCGTAGCTCGGTGCAATCCCGCCCGGCGTCACCTGGGTCGCCGACATTGGCGACAATCTACTTCAACGCCCACCGGCGTCACCCTGCGAGGAGCCTGCAGCCGCCGACGACTGCATCCCTCGCGCCTGGATGCCGCCGGCTTCACCGGCGTGTATCACACCTCGCTGCCTCGACGTGTCTCCCGCACTGCTGCCGACCTGGCCTCCACCGGCGTTGACGCCCACGTCGACGCCGCCATCGTCGTTCACCGGTCGAGGAGAGGCAAGCCGAGAAGGGGGGTGCTCCGCCGCCCACATGGAGCGGAGTCCTGCCTCGACGACTGCCCAGGGTATCGCCCCGTACTCCTGGGCCTCATGGCATCTCCTCGCATCCTCCAGCCGTCCCTCCAGGGTGTCCATCACCTCGGCGTCGCCTACGCGCATGCTAGTGACTGCACGGCTGCCGGTCTACGAACACGATCGGTAAGTCGGCTAGATTGAACTACGTCGCGGTGTCGTCCACGCTCACCGCACCATGCGGAGATAACTGCAGCAACGGGAGCTAGACTACGGGCTAGGCACGTGTGCTCGTGTGATCTCTGCGTTCGTTCACTCAGTCGTTTCCTTGTGTTTACGCTGCTTGCTAGTTCATGGGGAGAAATGGCAAGAGTTTCACTAGGAAAACATGACAACAATGGTAGCAACAACATTGGCATCACAGACTACATCAGTGCTAGGTAGGCTGCTGGTCGACCTCCAGCGCAGCAGCGCTCGCACCGCTCCAGCGTTGTAGAGTAGCGGTTCACCAACGTTGCAAGTCCACGGTGTGCCAGCGCTGCAGCAAGTCGGCTGCACAGCGTTGCACTCGCAGGACAACGGTGCACCTGCTTCGCAGGTGCGCGCAGCTGGTTGGTGCGCACTTCCTTGTCACGTGCCCAGCGCAGACGCCTGGCAGACTCCACGCCAGCGACTGCGCCCACCAGCCACGTCGACCTCGGGATACCACCCCCGAGGTCGGCCTCACATACTCCACCCTGGCGACACTCGCACACATTGCCCGGGTATCCCGGTCGATCGGGCAACCACGCCTGGCCGACCAGCGCAGTCCGTAGCCGGCCACGCATGCCCGGCGTCCCCAGTCTGGCGTCCAGGCGCCCAGGACGCCTTCCAAACCCCCAGGTCGGCGTCCAGACGCCCAGGACGCCGAGCAAACCTCCAGAGCGGCGTCCCTCCTCCCAGGACGCCGACCAGACGCCCAGGTCGGTGTCTGGGCCCCCCGGGACGCCCAGGTCGGCGTCCGGACCCCCAGGACGCCGTGCAGACGCCTAGGTCGGCGTCTGGCCTTCCAGAACGCCGTGCAGGCGCCCACGACGTCGACCAGGCGCCCGGGTAGTCGTGGCGATGCCCAGCTCGGCGTCCAGCTTCCCAGGACGCCGTCCAGGCGTCCAGGACGCCAACCAGGCGTCCAGGGCGGCGTCCTCCTGCTTGGCGCCCTCCAGCCAGGCGCCCTCCAGCTTGGCGCCCTTGCTGTCAGAATGTTATCTTATGCTCTAGCCTCTAGTGGGGTGCTCTGTAGCGAGTACAACCTTTCTAGGGTTTGCTATTTGTATCCCCATTCTTGCTAGTGCAACCCCTCTTCTTTCTTCTAAACTTCACACTTGCAGTGGCCCCCGTGCCCACTGCTGCAGGTCGGCTGCAACCCCCGCACATCCGACCACAAGGTTGGCTCCGCCCAAGCGAGGACGGGGCCTTACAACGCTCCCGTTGACAAGGAAGAGGACGACGGTGGGAGGAAGCGTGGCTGATGAGAGGGGAAGCGTGGGAGAAGGTAGGGGGAAGCGTAAGCGACGATGGGTGGGAGCGTAAGCGACAGTGGGGGAAAGCGAGGGCGACGGTGAAGGTGGTGACGGGAGGGGGAGCATGGGCAACGACGGAATGAAGTGTGAGCGATAGCGGGAGGAAGCGTGGGCGGCGGTGGGGCGAAGCGTGGGGGACGCGAAAAGCGATAGACAACATACTAGGAGGAGAGCGATCGGAGACGTAAAAGTAGCGACATCGGGCACGGCGACGTCGACGAGAGGAAGCGTGGGTGACGAGACGTGACGTCGACGAAGAAGCGCGGGAGTGGGCATAAAGCTGAGGCAAACATAGGGCGAATGCGCAGGAAATGACAGCGATCGACAGTACGATTCTTATCGACCTCGGAGAGGGAGATGCATGCGCCGCAAACTGGCGTTTGCGCCGTCGCGCAGGGTTTTGACGACGACGCTGAGTAATAAGCGGGCCCATCGCAACACTCTGATCATCATACAAAATTGGTTTCTCCGTCTTTTTTTTTTTTTGCGGAGTGGCCTCCGGCTTTATTGGCTCCTCTGTTCTACCTAAGAGTGCATGCGTGCGTAAGTGTCTTAGCTTGACCTGAATTACAACTATTTTCAAACTGTCAACAGCCCAGCTCTATTCCCTTGGGGAGAGAGCGGTTGGGACTCTCGCCAACCAGACCTGTGCTGCTCTACGACTCCCTGCTTTTTTGAGTGGTGTTTTTTGGTAACCAGAGAGGCTCGGGAAGTCAACTGTAGGCTTGGGAGGCAAACTGTGCACAGTTTGCCTTCTTTTTTTGTAATTCAGGTCTTGGGCTTTAAAGCCAACAGCTAAAATAGTGACCCCCCCTTCTAGTTGGGTCCACTTGAAAACACAAGTTTGTTACGAACGTTTGAAAAGTCGACGGCCTGTGCGTTTTTACTTTTTTTTGGGTTGCGTAGCAACCTTATACATTCGTTTTCACTTTTCGGTTGGCTGATGTGAACAGTGAATTTCTCTTATAAATTTTGAAAGAAGTCACTGTTCACATAGCTTCCCCAAAAATGTGAAAACAAATGTTTCCAATCATTCCATAATCGTCGATAAGTACGGCGAATGGAACAATTGGAGAATTGTTCTAGCACTAAAGATGATATGGTACCGAATGACACACGAACACAAAGGACAACACAAAAAATACTACAGTACCACCAAGAAACACACATACACAAATGACCACAAAAACGATGGTGTACAAGAACCGTCGTACATGTTTTGAAGGGGATAGTAAATGCATCAATGCAACAACTGAGACTGATATGGTACGGAAGAGGCGAGCAAAGCTGCCCCACCGACGATCACAATCCCAGTTGCATACACGATACACTTAGCACCACACCCCCGAAACAAGCACAGACGATAACACATAAATGATTATGAAAACAGAAAACAACGTTTAAGAATGTTTCAAAGCGGATGCTAAATGCATCAGTGCTGCAACTGAGATTGATATGGTACGGAAGAGGCTAGCAAAGCTGCCCCACCGACGATCACAATCCGAGTTGCATTCACGAGGCACTTAGCACCACACCCTGAAGCACGCACAACACACGTATGCATATGTACGCACTCACACACATACACGCTCACACATATACAGACACACACAACGCAAAAACATACAGCTATTGTAATAAGCATGCAAGCATAATGAATCAATTTCAGCCTTGTATAAATTAATTATCTCTATCTTGTCCCCCGTTCCCCTCCCTCCCTCCCTCATTTCCCTCATCTCCCTTCTCCCCATCTCTTTTCTCCGCAAGAAACAAAGGCTGCAGCTTGGACTCCTTGCACAGGAAAGGAAAATCAGCGAATGCAACTCACTCCCTGCACAAACAAGAACAAAACCAGAGAATACAACTTGCATAAATCAGAGAATGCAGCTGAAAAACAAAGTAAGCGCAACAGAAATTCACACGCAAACTCCCACGTTCTCTCACGCGCTCCCACGCTCTCAGGGGGGAGCGGTGACGGCGGGGAGGAGGGAGAGGCAACCGCGTGGAGGGAGAGGGGACGGCGGGGAGGAGGGAGAGGCGACGGCGGGGAGGAAGGAGCGGCGACGGCGGGGAGGAAGGAGCGGCGACGGCGGGGAGGAGGGAGAGGCGACGGCGGGGAGGAGGGAGAGGCGACGGCGGGGAGGAGGGAGAGGCGACGGCGGGGAGGAGGGAGAGGCGACGGCGGGGAGGAGGGAGAGGCGACGGCGGGGAGGAGGGAGAGGCGACGGCGGGGAGGAGGGAGAGGCGACGGCGGGGAGGAGGGAGAGGCGACGGCGGGGAGGGGGGAGAGGCGACGGCGGGGAGGAGGGAGAGGCGACGGCGGGGAGAAGGGAGAGGCGACGGCGGGGAGGAGGGAGAGGCGACGGCGGGGAGGAGGGAGAGGCGACGGCGGGGAGGAGGGAGAGGCGACGGCGGGGAGGAGGGAGAGGCGACGGCGGGGAGGAGGGAGAGGCGAAGGCGGGGAGGAGGGAGAGGCGACGGCGGGGAGGAGGGAGAGGCGACGGCGGGGAGGAGGGAGAGGCGACGGCGGGGAGGAAGGAGAGGCGACGGCGGGGAGGATGGAGCGGCGACGGCGGGGAGGAGGGAGAGGCGACGGCGGGGAGGAGGGAGAGGCGACGGCGGGGAGGAGGGAGAGGCGACGGCGGGGAGGAGGGAGAGGCGACGGCGGGGAGGAGGGAGAGGCGACGGCGGGGAGGAGGGAGAGGCGACGGCGGGGAGGAGGGAGAGGCGACGACGGGGAGGAGGGAGAGGCGACGGCGGGGAGGAGGGAGAGGCGACGGCGGGGAGGAGGGAGAGGCGACGGCGGGGAGGAGGGAGAGGCGACGGCGGGGAGGAGGGAGAGGCGACGGCGGGGAGGAGGGAGAGGCGACGGCGGGGAGGAGGGAGAGGCGACGGCGGGGAGGAGGGAGAGGCGACATCGGGGAGGAGGGAGAGGCGACGGAGGGGAGGTAAGGAAGAGGAGATCGCGGGGTGGGGCTGAGTGACTGTGAGGTGAATAGGAGAGGTGAAGGTGGGTAGTGAGGGAGAGGATACGGCGGGATAGGAGCAAGAGCGACGGCTGGGTGGGAGAACTGGCGAGAAATTGGGGTGGGGGGAAGGAAGAGGAATAAGAGCAGAGCAGGTGTGCTTGTCGAGTCGAGAGGAACCAGAAAACAAGAACCAAGAAAAGAGCGCAGAAATTGAGTTGGCAGTTGTGAAAGGGACGGATGCCAGCGCAGAGATGAAATTTCTGCCAGCGCAGAACAAGACAATTTCTGCCACCGCAGAACGATACAATTTCTGCCAGCGCAGAACGAAGCACCATATACAGTATACCGTTTTAAGTTAATAATTGGTCTAGTCGTAATTGTAACACACATACGGATATGCGTTATGAGAAAAACCAATTACAGATGGGGAGATCATACATGGAGATCAGTCCGCTCATATCGAGTTTCCAGCACCTACGCAACCCATACGACGTTGAACGTCGAGTCTTGTTTTCATCCCGGACGAGTCTTGATCTGAACGGAAAATATGTGTACTTGTTTACAAATCTGATTGGTGGCGACTTTCACCCAAATTCCTGTACGAATTTGGCGCAAGGCTGCAATCCCACATTCAACAGAGCAGCGGTCGTAACTTCACAAGAATTCCTACGTGCAAAAAACAGCGCACACACATGCAAAATCCAGCGCGCACACAGGCAAAAACTAGCAAAATCCTGCGCAAACACTGGCATGATCAAGCAAAATCCATGGCACACATAGGTGAAATCAGGCGAAGAAGATAGAAATAAAGAAATGAATGATGTACGAAAAGAGGAAGGGTGTCGGGACGGTTGATTGGTCGACGGCGAAGAGAAGGGACTGGGGACAAGGGGGCCGACGGGAGAGAAGGGGAGAGAGGGGGAACGACGGGATGGGAGGGGAGGGAGAAAGAACGATGGGATAGGAGGGAAGAGAGGAGGAACAACGGGATGGGAGGGGAGAGACGAAGAAAGACGGGATGGGAGGGTAGAGAGGAGGAACGACGGGATGGGAGGGTAGAGAGGAACGACAGGATGGAAGGGGAGAGAGGAACGGGAGGCGGGGAGGAAAGACAGATTGTGAGGGGAGGGAGGAAGGGCGCGGAGAGGGCATTACGTAGCAAGAGCGAAGGCGACGAGGTCGGTGATGAACCGGGTGGATACAATGGGCGATCTGGAGAGTGTTTCAGAGACTAATGATTGGGGAGAAGAGACGAAAGGCGATGGGAAGGCAATTCGGAGCGAGCATGAGGGCGACGAGGTCGGTGATGGGAAGGGAGAGAGGAAGGGCGATGGGAGGGGGTTGAGTGCGAGCGCGAAGGCGACGAGGCAAGCGATGGGAGGAGAAAGTGGGTGGGGGACGGGAAGGCATTTTGTGGCGAGCGGGAAGGCGATGGGGTGGGTGATGGTGGGTGGGAGAGGAAATTGCGACGGCTGCATCTAGGGCGACGGGAAGAACGAGAGGGGAGAACGAGAGGGAGGGCGGCGGCGACAAGGAGGGTGATGTGAGGGGAGAGAGAAAGGGTGACGCGATGGTGACGGACGATGTGAGGGCAGAGTGTGAGGGTGATAAGAGGGGTGATACGAACCGAGAGAAAAAGGGTGATGGGGGGAGAGAGAAGGCAACGAGGGTGATGGGAAGGCGGCGACGAGGGTGCCGCGAGGAGCGACGAAAAAAGCGAGGGCATATGTGACGGGGAGAGTAACGCTGCGAGGGAAAAGCGAGAGGGGCCGACGATCATGGGGCGACGGGCAGGCATTTCGGGGCGAGCGCGAAGACGTCGAGGTGGGTGATGGGGCGGGAGAGATGAAGGGCGACGGAAGAGAGGAAGACGGGAGGGGAGGGGCGACGGGAGAGAAGACGGGTGACGGGAGAGAGGATAGGAGACGGGAGAAAGAAAGGGTGACGGGAGAGAGGAAGGGCGACGGGAGGAAGGAAGGGCGGCAGGAGAGAGAATAGGCGACAGGAGAGAGGAAGGGCGACGGGAGAGAGGAAGGGCAACGGGAGAGGAAAGGCGAAGGGAGATGAAAGCGACGGAGGAAGGGCAACGGGAGAGGAGAGGCGAAGGGAGAGGAAAGCGACGGAGGAAGGGCAACGGGAGAGGAAAGGCAACCGGAGAGGAAAGGCGATGGGAGGGGAGGGGAGAGATAGCGTGGCGACGCGAACTGAGGGGAGGGCCGCGACGGGAGACAGCGAGGGCGACGTCGATGGAGGCGACAATTCGGGCGACGGGACGGCGTTGGGACGGACGGCGCGAGGACGAGTGAGTCGGGAGGACGAGTGAGGCGGGACAGGAAGGAGGCGAGAGGGTAATCTAAACGGCACAATTATGACATATAATCACTACGCGCCTAAGTTGCGGTAACAACAGCCTAAGTTGGGGCTATATGGCTAGACAAGCAACTAAAAACTAAAAAGCACGGAAAACTGAATGGAAGACGTAGTAGACCTTCACCCATGCCCAACTTGAACGCGAAGCTGGGCAAAAAATCGCAAGGATGTTACGAGTGCAATTGAGCGAAGAATATATAGCGAAACTACAGTGGTAACGGTAATGGTCTGTGGTAGTCGCGCGACGAGCCTGGGACTGAGGTTGGGAAAGTGTCGAGGCGTAGGCCCGGAGCACGGGTTACCAGCCGAGCCGTGAGGTCGGGATGCGATGTGCGAAAAATGGCGGGATGATTGTCGATGCGATGATCGCGAGTGGTAACGGTGCTGACTGAGGTGCTACAGTGATGTACGCGTTGAGTAGGGATGCGAAGTAAGGAAAAGGGATTTTCCTTACACTACCCCCCCCCTACTAAGGAGGTCCTTCTTACGAAAGTGTGTGGACATCTTTGAAGTTTCGGCTGCGCAGATATTCGGTGAGGACAGGGTGTCAGTAGATCTGCACTGTGGATGCCCGATTGATCCTACGGGGGGTTACAGGCGCGTTTGCCTGGGGGGTTATGGGCGCACTCTGACCCGCTACTTAACAAGCCCTTTTATCCCAATGGTCTAGTGGTTGGGATTCTGACATGGTATCAGAGCGGTCTCGGGTTCGAATCCCGGTGTATGCACGTGTTGGCCGTTGCCACTGTGCTTAGTCCTTGGCCTCCCAGTGTGGGGGGGTGTCAGTAGAGCTACACTGTGAGATCCCCGATCGATCCTAGGGGGGGTTACAGGCGCGTTTGCCTGGGGGGTTATGGGCGCACTGACCCGCTACTGAAACAAGCCCTTCTATCCCAATGGTCTATTGACTGGGATTCTGACATGGTGTCAGAGTGGTCTCGGGTTCGAATCCCGATGTATGCACATGTAGGCCGTTGCCGCTGTGCTCAGTCCTGGGCCTCCCAGTGTGGGGGGGTGTCAGTAGATCTGCACTGTGGATGCCCGATTGATCCTACGGGGGGTTACATGCGCGTTTGCCTGGGGGGTTATGGGCGCACTCTGACCCGCTACTTAACAAGCCCTTTTATCCCAATGGTCTAGTGGTTGGGATTCTGACACAGGGTGGTTTTCAATTCTGTCCAGGGGAACCCAGTTGTCCTTGGTAGGTGTACGGTCTTTCCAGCGGATCAGGAACTCGATCTTTCGGGCTCCTCGGGGGTCGCGAACTCTGTGACTCAGGATTTTGTCGGGGGTGATGATTGGTTCGGATGGTGGTCGTGCCATGCTGGATGGTCGGTGTCGTGGGAGTTGGCCGGTGGATGGTACGTAAGGGCGAAGCAAGCTGACGTGGAACAAGGTGCTGACGTACCAAACAGCAGGGAGTAGGAGGTGCGCGGTGACAGGAGTGATCATGTGGCTAATTCGAAATGGCCCACAGTATCGGGGGCGGAGTTTTGGAGTGATGGGCAGGCGGAGGTTTTGAGTGTAGAGTAAAACGAGGTCGTCGGGCTGATAAGTGACAAGTCTGTGGTGGCGGTCGGCGTTGCGTTTAGCGATGATGTTCGATTTTTTTATTGCTTCTGCTGCCCTGGTCCGTGCTGCTTGCAAAATCTCGGCAAATTGTTGCCCACGTGGAACGGGGTGAGAGAAGTTGAACGAGAAAATGGGAATGACTACGTGAAAGTTGGGTACAAAAATGCAAACCCTAGAAAGCTGTACCCCATATGTGCTACCCCACTATAGCCTACAATAGCTACGTCATATATATCTGACACACCCCCATAGGCAAAGTGGGGGAGAACAAGGGGTCACAAGACCAGTCAAGCAAAGCAAAGCAAAGCAAGCTCAGGGTGGATCACAAAGTCACCACACAGTCCGAGCACAAGGTCAAGGCCACAAGGCCAGTTCACATGCAGGAGTGCACATATATCTATAACACTAAACAAGCAAGAGCAGGTATATATATATGCAAGAGTACAAGTAAGATCAAGAGGTGAGCAAGTGAGGTAAGACAGGTACAAGTCCCAGCTGAGTGCAGAAGCCCTGATGATCACAAGGCGGAAGTGCCATCAGCAGTGTTGGCCTCAGAGGCCACGTACGCAAGTCGCAACTGACCACGCTGCTGCAGCTCACGAGCAAGAAAGTAGCGGAGAGCAATGTGCTTCGTTCTGTGCTCCACGCGCTGCTCTCGACACAAGGCCAGCATGGCCTTGTTGTCTACGTACAGCACTGGAGGAGAACGAGGCGGCTCTCCAAGGCCAGTCAGCAGGTAGGTGAGCCAGCGAAGCTCCTGAGCAGCCATGGCCCAGGCGTAGATCTCACCCTCACAACTGGAGCCGAGAACAGAAGACGAGTGAGTAGCCCGCCACGAAACAGAGCCGGAACCAAGACTGAAGGTGTAACCCTGTGACGACCGCTGAGTAGCCTGGTCGTCAGCCCAAGAAGCGTCCGCGTGCCCAGTGAGGACCCCTGAACTCCGCCCTCCGAGCACTAGCCCCATGCCTGACGTACTGCACAAGTAGCGCAACACCCTCTTCGCTGCAGCCATGTGCTCTGGTCGGTGTCTCCCAGGAGCAACATAGCGTGCAAGAATGCTAAGAGGGTATGCAAGGTCAGGTAGTGTGCAGGTCATCAGGTACATGAGGCAGCCAACAAGCTCTGGGTACGGGCCACTCGACTCTACGGACTCATCCGAAGGCAGAGCTGAGAGCGAGTGGCGAGTAGACAGAGGAGTGGCCTGAGGCAAGGAGTACGTGAAGCCGAAGCGCTGAAGGACCTGCTGCACCATGTGTGACTGAGTCAAGGTAATGGTGCGTCGTGCTCTGTCCCGAGTGATCTGCAAGCCAAGGTAGCTGCGCAGTTCACCCAGGTCTGTGCACGTGTGTCTCTTCTGCAGCTCAGACTTCACGTAGGCGAGTCCAGCAGTGTCCGCTGTGGGAAAGACCAAGTCGTCAACGTACACGAGGATGTAGAACGGCGGCAGAGAAGTGTCGGTGCGTAGAAACAACGACGGGTCAGCAGTAGAGGGAGCAAACCCAAGAGTCGCAAGCGTAGTCCTCAGTGTGTCGTGCCACTCACGCGGTGCCTGGCGGAGACCGTAGACTGGCCGTCGGAGGCTCCACTGGGTGCCAGGAGGGAAAGTCCCAGTGAAGCCAGGTGGACGGCGCAGCCAGATCTCCTCGTGCAGGCTACCCTGCAAGAAAGCAGTGCTGAAGTCAAGAGAGTGGAGCTCGTAGTCGCGCTGAGCGGCTATGTGCAGCAGCACCCGAAGAGTGTGTGAAAGTTTAGAATAGAGTAGGGGATTGCACTAGCAAGAATGGGGATACAAATAGCAAACCCTAGAAGGGTTGTACTCGCTATAGAGCACCCCACTACAGGCTAGAGCATAAGATAACATTCTGACAGAGTGGTCATCTTCGGGGTGGGAGAGAAGGTCTGAAAGTAGTCAACTCCCTGCCGCTGACTGAAGCCACGAGCCACGTACCGCGCCTTGAAGACAGGTGGAGAGCCCGGCGGCCGCTTCACCCTGAAGATCCACATGCCACTGACGATGTTCGCCCCAGGAGGGGGAACCGCGTCAACGTAGGTTCCTGTGGACTTCCAGGAAGCCATCTCTGCATCCATAGCTGCCTACCACTGAGAGGAGTAGGGACCCTCTACGGCCTCCGCGTAAGAGCGCGGAGTCGGGATGTCCAGTGCATCCGGGTCTCCCTCAGGGGCAAGTAGTACGGACGCGAGATGAGGTGAAGCAGCAGCCAGACACTGGAACTCCTCCTGCCTGTCCTCAAGGACGTCCGTGCCAAGAGCACACTCACCCCCGACGGACGGAGGACAGACTGACACAGACTCAGCAACAAGACTGGCAGCGTAGTCTAGACGACAGCGAGCAGCAAAGTCGACGAGCTCAGCAACAAGCGCAGACGCAGCAGTGGACTCAAAAGAGGGGTCAGTGACGACAGTAGCAAGGAGACGCGTGACAGTAGGACTGGCAGTACGGAGAGAGTCTGACTCTGGGTCGGCAAGTGCAGGAAGAGAGGACTCAGGAGGAGAAGGCAAAGGGGCACGCAGAGGAGCAGTGGACGGACGCAGAGACATCCGGTGGGTGCCAGGGACAGGAGGAGGACGTTGACGCGAACCGCGACCACTAGCGCGAGCAGCACGAACAGGCGACGTGGAACGAGACGTAGACTCACGACGCTCAGCAAGACCTCCAGTAGGACCAGTGTAAGGAGAGGGAGCAGGAAGTGGGGAGGCGGGCTCTAACTGTGACTGTGACTGGACACGCGATGGACACTCTACAGGAGGAGAAAGACCAAGAACCTGCTGCAGGAGCGGAACGAAGTACGGCCGAGGCCGCGCGGCAACTCTAGACACAGCAGGGACAGCACCAGCACCCTCAGCAGCAGCACCAGCGCCAACAGCACCTCCAGCTGCAGAACCTCCAGCATCACCAGCAGCACCCGCAGCAGGACCACCGCCAGGAAGGACAGCAGCAGTCTCAGCACCAACACCCTCAGTAGCTCCAGCGCCAGGCGGACCCGAAGGCCCAGGAGCCCCGGGACCGGCGGCACAAGTACCCTCAGCGGCCGAAGAAGCTCCAGCTCCAGCAGTACGCCTCCAGCGGCGAGCAAACCACTCGCGCAGCTCTTGTGGAGAGAGTGGCTCCCGCCGAGACGAAGCACCAGGAGAGCCTCCAGGCCCTGCACCGCCAGACGCCACAAGGGGAGGTCCAGTGGCCGCAGGCTCCGCAACTCCAGGCTCAGCAGCACCCCCTGGCTCAGCAGCTCCTGACGTAGCACCCCCAGGCTCAGCACCCCCAGTCGCAACACCCCCAGGCTCAGCACCCCCAGTCTCAGCACTCCCAAGCTCAGCACCCCCAGGCTCAGCACCCCCAGTCGCAGCACCCCCATGCTCACCACCCCCAGGCTCAGCACCCCCAGTCGCAGTACCCCCAGGCTCAGCACCCCCGAGCTCAGCGCCCACGCGCGCAGCACCCCCAGAGTCAGCACCCCCAGGCTCAGCACCCGCAGCAGTACCAGAGTCACCAGCAACCTCGACCGGCTCGACTGCGTCTACCTGGGACACACCC